TCTCAACATTGATGTCTGTTGTCTATCCGAGAGTCTAGTGAAGTACTACAAATTCGCTCTCCATCTGTCACTTCGAAAACATTGTTTTACGTGGGGCGGCCAAACCAGCATGTGGAGTCGGTTCGTGAAGTCACTAACTGTCGAACTGAGTCGTCCTGATAGGTTCAGGCTATCTAGTTGATGTCCACATGATATTCGCGATCGGTGATTGGAGACATTGAGTGGTATGGCTCAGAATCAGTCGCAACAGGGTAGATGTATTCACTCCTTACCTTTCCTTAGATCTTGAGTTTCTTTAATTTATCTAATATTGGTTTATTACACTAATCCATGTATTCTGACCTACTAAGATATCATATGTCTAATTGTTTTCACTACTTCTAATATGGTTAATACTTATACTGCTCTGACATCTTGTCATTGTGTTGTACTTCGGTAACTTGGATTGATGTATATATGTGCCAGGGTGCACGTTCCATTTGTCTGACTGGCTCAACTCACATAATTACTTTAGTGGACTTTTTCTAAATAATTTTAATTCATATCGGTAAATATTTCAAGTCAACACTGACTTTCATCACAGCATGACTCCGTCGTATGTGAGTAGTATATTGACATTTAATCCTTCAAGTACACAACAACATGGTTCTTATTTATGATCTAAATGATTATTACAAAACTATAACAGTTTTAGGTGCGAGTTTTTCCCACCTAAGCAAGCAAATTGAAAAACAACCTTACCCAGTGTTTTCATATAGAATTTGCCTTGTGAACATTGTTCACTATCTGAATGAATTTATCCTCACTACCAGTGGATATGGAAAATTATTCGTAAACTACAGGTATATTGATTAGTGTATAATTCCAAATGGTAGAAATGTGATGAGTACAACCCTTTGATTTTCCGAATGGTTTGCAAACACAAGATTATTGGTAATCTACACAGTGTATAACTAACGTGAAAATATGTAAAATTCCTTGTATAATCTACTCGGCCAATATCTAAATGACATAGTATGAAATATATCATGTATGAACATCGATATATATATATATATATATATATATATATATATATATATATATATAATTATGTATTAAGAGCAAGGAAAAGAATAATAACGCTCACCTAGATTAATTGATTCTGAGTTACTTGCTTCACACTTACGATAAGCCTCTACAAAATGTACATTTTCAACTGCTGAATCAACTAAGAGACTATCAGAAATTACAGTAGCCTCAGGTTTTTCTAAGGAAATGAAATAATTTATGAGAGCTAGCTTCATTGCGTCAGTGCACTGTAAACCATTATAGTTCACGGAATACTTCTCACATAATGTCTTCAAAATTGAGACTTTTAAATCGCTTAAATGAGCACATTTGACTTTTAAAAATGACTCTAATAAATGTAAAATTCGTGAAAAACGTCTGATTCCAAGTGCACATCCTTTAATGATCAATACATTAGATTTTTTAATAATTATGACAATATTGTACGTCAGTTCAAAATGATAAATTATTGTTGGATTACTGAATAATTCCAAACAATCCATTGAAGTAATCGTACTAATTGAAACCGATTCTGGACTAATAAAACGCAGTGCGTAATCCTGTACAAGAAGGATTTATTTTCATGTAAACTCAACAACACATACTTGAGCTGCATTCAGTTTATCTGCAGTTCCGCATATTTTAAGTTTATCTTGAGATAATGCTGCAGATACTCCATAACAATTTTCAAGCCGACAAAATAATACATCCAGATTTTCGGTCGGATATGGAATGGTAACATAAACTGACATATTTCACCCTTGCTAAAATATACTACATACTACAAAAGAGTTTAAAAAAGGTAGAAAAGATTAAATCTATGGTAAGTTGCTCCTTTTCAGTAGTTTACACACAAACTGGATTCCACTACTAGCCACTAGCCATCTTTGCATATAATACTTTACATAGTTATATAATTACGAATATGTCCGTCATTCACTAATCCACGTTACATATTATCAGTTATTCAACATAAGCATTGGAACAAGGAAAAACCAAATACATATGTGCCACATAAGTCACTTGATTTGTATCAGGGCTGTGATACTGTCCGGATGCCCAAAGCGAAATAGGTGGTTTTCTTAGGGATTCACACCCCAAGCCTTTGATCTAGAGGTCTAATCCATAGGGTAATGGAGTAACGTTAGGAGATGCAATCCTATGGTGGACGGTGACCAAAAATAGTTTCATACGCCGTTTGTTCTCTCAGGATCCTGGAGCCCATGTACACCATTGGTTTGGAATCAAGGTTTTCCAACTCCTCTAGGTGGACTCTCCGTACTCACTAACCTGGATAAAGCGTCGGACATTCGCTTTTCAACCTCTCAATTTCGTAAGCAACACTCCTATCGCGAGAAGGCAATCAGTAAGACTTCCCTGACATTGGCTGTATACGCGTGGTTGCGTGGAAGCATTTTGAGAGGAAGAGCACTCTCCGCACCCTCGGCCTTACCAGAGCATTTGGGGGTACTAATATATTCGGACCGTGCACGATCAAACCGCGGGGAAAGTTATGCACTAGTAGGGTTCATTTTACCTTATGACAGTCAAGGATGGTCCTTAATTGTGGGAAATAAAAAAGGTAATGAAGCTTCTTCCCGTAAAAAATAATACATATTTACTAATCACTAACTCTATCGATATCTTCTCTAAACAGAGCAGGATAACCCATGAGATTTGAGCTCATCGTGACCGACTCTAAGCAAACTGCGCGAAATAAACTGTGTCTTTTTCTAATTTCGCGTTTAAGAGCGGGTGAAAAACCAGTAGGTTGTAATTCAACCCAAGGAAAAACTACAAGCTTCCGAAATCCATTTTTTAAAATATTTTAGCTAATAAAATTTTCCACCTGAGTAGTTAGCAATATCGCTACCTAATACATTTCTTTGATATATAACCCCAAATATATATTTTGATGTACTGGTCGACATTTAAGTAACGGTGGTCAGAAAGAGGACTCGCATGGACCATCACAAGGGCCACTGATGACTCCAAGCTCGACTAGACAGTTGGTAGCTACATACGCCATTGAGATAAAGACCACAATTATGATCGATGAAAGCCATGTCACAGTATTATTTTTTTTTATAAACAGAAGGATGTAGGTAGCTAGTTCGATTTTTTAAATAAACAATATACTTGAATATGTTTATGTTTTATTACTTTGAGGTTTTTAACTATTTTTCACACGATACCATGCATAGGTTTGGTCTAGTGGACGGATTTCAATTTCATCGGTGTCTGAGTGTCTAAAGAAACCGCATCCTCTAACAGCTTGTGTATTAAATGACTTCTAATCATGTTTATTTCCATTTTAAGAATCTCGTACGTAGGTATGTTATTATAATAAAAAAACCCAAGACAGCTATGGTTAATTTCGATATTCACTAATTTGAAGGACTGGACTAACTGCCGAATATCGTGAGTGCCTATTGATCTTAACGTCCTAAAATTGCAAATCATTTAAAAAGGACGTTTTATTCAGTAGTTCATCTAAAACTTGCCCATAATCAAACTTAGATGTTAACCACACTAGTACAGCAAATTTGTTTTGTACACTTTGATAGTTTTCTTAACACCAACAAGAGCAGCTCTATAGTTAACCCTGATTTCGAACCCGGGTAAACGAGGACACTTTGTCGTGCAGTTAGCGATCACACTTAGTACCAAAAGAACTTCTCTAGAAAGGCGTCAATAACAAAAGTCATTTTAACTACTTAGACTCTGACCAAGCACAATCTGAATAAATAGAAGCAAACAATCAAGTGAAGAAAAGCATTAGAGCCGACAAGAAGAAATACGTGGAAGAACTAGCAACGACGGCAGAAAAAGCTGCTAGAGAAGGAAATATGAAACAACTTCACGATACAACGAAGAAACTAGCAGGGAAATACAGTAAACCAGAAAGACCGGTCAACAACAAGGAAGGCAAGCCAATCACCGAAATTCAACAACAGCGTAACAGATGGGGAGAATACTTCGAGGAACTCCTGAATAGGCCGGCTCCAATGAATCCACCGGACATCGAAGCAGCACACAGAGATCTTCGTATAGATGTCAATCCACCAACGACGGAAGAAATCAGAATGGCCATCAGACAAATCAAGAGCGGGAAAGCAGCAGGACCCGACAATATACCAGCTGAAGCACTGAAATCAGACATCGAAGCAACTACAAACATGCTTTACCTTCTATTCAAAAAGATTTGGGAGGAGAAACAAGTGCCGATGGACTGGAAAGAATGACACCTCGTCAAGATTCCAAAGAAAGGAGATCTGAGCAAATGTGAAAACTACAGAGGCACCACACTACTGTCAATGCCAGGGGAAGTCTTCAACAGAGTGTTGCTGAACCGGATGAAGTAGACGCCCAACTTCGAGATCAACAAGCTGGATTCCGTAAGGATCGGTCGTGCACAGACCAAATTGCAACACTACGGATCATCGTCGAACAATCAGTTGAGTGGAACTCATCACTATACATCAACTTCATTGATTATGAAAAGGCATTTGACAGTGTAGACAGGAGGACGTCATGGAAACTTCTTCGACACTACGGAGTTCCTGAGAAGTTTGTCAATATTATCCGGAACTCATACGACGGACTACAGTGCAAAGTAGTGCATGGAGGACAGCTGACAGATGCATTCCAAGTAAGGACCGGAGTCAGACAAGGCTGTCTACTCTCTCCCTTCCTCTTTCTTCTGGTGGTCGACTGGATTATGAAGACCTCGACATCTGGAGGAAAACACGGAATGCAATGGACAGCTCAGAATCAATTAGACGATTTGAACTTCGCAGATGACCTAGCCCTCCTATCACGTACACACGAACAGATGCAGATGAAGACAGCCAGTGTAGCAGCAGTCTCTGCATCAGTAAGCCTCAGCATACACAAAGGGAAAACCAAGGTCCTCAAATTCAAAGCGGAAAACAGCAATCCAATCACTCTTGATGGCGAAACTCTGGAAGATGTAGAGTCCTTCACATACCTAGGAAGCATCATCGATGAACAAGGAGGTTCAGATGCAGACGTAAAGGCGAGGATCGGCAAAGCAAGGGTCCCATTCCTACAACTGACGAACATAGAGGACTCAAAACAACTTTCAACAAATATCAAAGTGAGAATCTTCAATACCAACGTCAAGGCAGTTCTACTGTATGGAGCTGAAACTTGGAGAACTACAACAACCACAATCAAGAAAGTACCAGTATTTATAAATAGCTGTCTACGCGAGATACTCAACATCCATTGGCCGGAGACTATCAGCAACAGCCTTTTGTGGGAGAGAACAAACCAGCTTTCAGCTGAAGAAGAAATTAGGAAAAGACGATGGAAATGGATAGGACATACATTACGCAAATCATCAAACTGCATCACGAGACAAGCCCTAACTTGGAATCCTGAAGGAAGGCGGAAAAGAGGGAGGCCAAAGAACACATTACGTCGGGAAATAAAAACAGATATAGAAAGGATAAATAGCAACTGGAAGGAGCTGGAAAGGATTGACCAGGACAGGGTTGGATGGCGAATGCTGGTGAGCGGCCTATGCTTCTTCACGAGTAACAGGCGTAAGTAAGTAAGACCCTGACCTGGGAGTTCAAGGGTATACATGTAGAAGAGTTATGAAGCCTCATGGTAAAACGCCAGACTCCACAAGTCACGGGACCGATACCACTTCTGGCAACCAGAACAACTATTAATACATCTACATGGAATGTCCGCACAACGTGGGAGGGATAGATAGGATCATCCAAGCAACAACAGAAAGGAGAAGACACAATATGACCGTGCCTGGAATAAGTGAAACCCATTAGACACAATCTACACAGAAAAGACTAACTTCAGGAGAGCTGTTGTAGTATTCTGGTCATGAAGAAAGTACCCCTCTACACGCACAAGGAGTTGTACTGATCCTGTCCAAAGAAGCACGAAAATCGCTGATAGGATGGGAAAGTCACGACTCCAGAATAATTCAAGCATCCTTCAAATCAAAGAAGGAAAGGATTACGATGAACATCATCCAATGTTACGCACCCACCAACAATGGCAGTGAGGAGGATGAAGACCAGTTTTGTGACAGGTTGCAGTCCGTCGCACAGAACAGCTCAGGAAAAGACCTGAACATCCTGATGGAGCGACATGGATTATGAGAAGGAAACGGAGATTATGAGAGGTTAGGTTCCAACTACACCGTCATAAATAGAAGCACTTTCTTCAACAAATCCGCATCGGATTCACTACAGAGCCAGATTGATCACATCTAGGGGAGTAAAGCATTCAGAAAGTCCATCCAGTACGTGAGAACAGACGGAGGATATAATATAACTTCCCATAACTATCTAGTGGTGGCCAATATAGAGCTGAAGATGAACAGGCATTGAACACTTGGACACCAGCACAACAAACGTTTAATATAACCTTCCTTCGAGACTCTAACTAGCTCACCGAGTTCACGATAGCTCTCAGAAACAGCTTCCCAGTCTTACAAAATCTAGTAGAGAAAGAGGAAACCACTATGGATCAACAATACATCAACTTTCTTGACTACGAGAAAGCATTTGACAGCGTGGATAAGAGAACCTTCTTCGACACTATGCTGTACCTGAGAAGATCGTCAACAGTACACGGAATTCATACGACGGCTACACTTCAAAGTGATGCATGGAGGACAGTTGACAGGTACATTCCAAGTGAAGACTGGAGTTGAAAAGAGCTACTTACTCTCTTCGTTTGTCTTTCTTCTGGTGGTTGAGTGGATTATGAAGACCTTTATATCTGGGGGGAAGTGCAGAATAAAATGGACAGGTTGGATGTAACTTGACAATTGGGACTTTGCAAACGACCTAGCTCTCCTATCCCATACACACGAACATTTGTAGGTAAAGACAGATAGTTTAGCACCAGCCTTTTCATCAGTAGGTCTTAACATACACACATACCTACGTACGCTTGTTACTCCCAAGAGAGTATAGGCCGCCAACCAGCATTCTCCATCCCACTCTGTCCTCGGACTTCTTTTCTAGTTCCATCCAATTCTTGTCCATTTTACTCATGTCTATCTCCATTCCCCGGCGTAAAATGTCTTTTTGTCTTCCTCTTCTCCTTTGGCCTTGAGGATTCCATGTGGGGGCTTGTCTTGTGACGTGGTTGGGTGCTTTCTTCAATATGTGTCCTATCCACTTCCAGCGCTTCTTCCTGATTTCTTCCTCCACTGGGATCTGGTTTGTTCTCTCCCATAGTAGGTCGTTGCTAATAGTGTTCGGCCAACGGATCCGAAGTATTTTGCGTAGACAACTGTTAATAAACACCTGTATCTTCTGGATGACGGCTTTCGTAGTTCTCCAGGTTTCCGTCTCATATAGTAGAACTGTCTTGACATTTGTATTGAAAGTCCTGACCTTGGTGTTGGTTGACAGTTGTTTTGAGTTCCAGATGTTCTTCAGTTGTAAATATGCTGTTCTTGCTTTTCCGATCCGTGCCTTCACATCTGCATCAGATCCACCCTGTTCATCAATGATGTTGCTCAGATATGCAAAGCCTTTTACACCTCCCAAAGCTTCTCCGTCAACTGTGGTCGATTGGTGTATACTGTGTTGTATGGGGGAATCTTGCTTTTCCCTTTGTATATATTGAGACCTACTGCTGCTGAGGCTGCTGCTACACTGGTCGTCTTCTCCTGCATTTGTTGTTGCGTTTGCGATAGAAGAGCCAGATAATCTGTGAAGTCTAGATTGTCCAACTGCATCCTAGATGTCCACTGTATCCCGTGCTTCCCTTCAGATGTTGACTTCTTCATGATCTAGTCGATCACCAGGAGAAAAAGAAATGGTGAGAGTAAGCAACATTGCCTGATACTGGACTTTACTTCGAACGAGTCTGCAGTTTAACCGATCATAGGAATTCCGTATGATGTTAATTATCTCAGGCACGCCGAAGAAGCTCTCCATGGTGTTGTCCTGTCCACGCTATCAAATGCTTTCTCGTAGTGAACGAATTTGATGTGGAGTGATGAAATTTATTCAGTTGATTGTTCCACAATGATCTGTAGTGTTGCCATCTGGTCTGTACACGATCGATCCTTATGGAATCCAGCCTGATGGTTTCGATGTTGGGTGTCTACGGATTCCTCCATTCTGTTCATGAACACCCTGTTGAGGACTTTCCCTGATATTAATATGAATATCAACCGTGTGACTTCCGAAGAAACTTGGCTTTCATCATGAAGCGTCATAACTCTACTAAATGAAGACAGGGCAGAGTTCAAGTGGTTTAAATTACTTTTTCTGGCTAGCGTTTTTAGCGAGTTAGTTTCTACGGGAAGTGGTCGCTAACACCATAACCAAGTCTCCTCCTTTATCCAGGCTTGGGATCGGCAGTGGCTTCAGAGGGGCTCCAGGCGAAGTATAGTGCACCACAAAGAACGGTCAGGGACAAACAAGGGAAACTAAGCACTGGAACAAGTGAGTAAAGCACTTTGATAGACCAGCACCACTACGCCCACCAGAGTTCAAGGTAGATAATTTTCTATATATAACAACTGATAAATAACAGTAGAGAGGTAATCGGGTTAAGTACGTGAGTTAATAGCATATTGGAGCTATCATTGCAATAGGTCAACTCATGCTGAAAATAAGTAGGCAAGTAGTGACACACTGCAAAATACTGAATCAGTACATAGAAATACCTCAAGATGTTGAGACAAAATGCTCGCTAATGAGACACCTGATTGATCAATCAAGTGGTAACACACATATTTCAAAGTATTTCCATACAAATTCCAATGTCCAAATCACGAGCTAGTGTAAATCATCTAACCTCTCTGCACATACACACAAATTACTTAGATGTATCCATTCAACAGATGGCTACTTATTTATTAAGGAGAGGTCAGTCCATGAAATTATCAGCACATAATGTCGTGTTCTCATGAAGTGTTGAAAGCATAGTTAAGGACAAAAATTTAGTGGAGAAGAATGGGGTATTCAAATGGCAGTCAACCGTCGATATTTATTTGTACGTCGATCAGAAAACTAGAACTTCAATTAAGTGTATTGCACTCAGTGACAGAAAAGATACAAACTAAATGTAACTTGAAAGTTAAA